TAACTAAAACTTGAATACCATAACTAACCGCAACATTCGTATTCAAAATCGAAGGGCAAGGTATGATAATTTTGCCGTATGCTTTGTTACAACTGCAGATCGCACAAAGACATTTTACGTTAGTTTAGCAGTATCAGTCCGTCCATCCATTTGTTTTTAAATCTGAGACAGAAAGGTTTAAATTGGCGCAAAAGTATTTTTGAAATAATTTCAAAGAATACGTTCGATGTTGGGCATGGTCGCTTAATAAGCAAAACCACTACAGTTCAAGAATTGAACTAAGTTTAAAAATAGTTAAGTAAATTCGCTTCATAATAAAAATGATGCACTTCCACTTCACTTTCAGCACTTTCAGACGTGAGTTGACGTGAGTGTGCATGAATGAATCGTAGAAATGCATGAGGTCGCAATACTAACAATACTCCCTTTGTAGTGGATAACGATTTAAGATTAAAACTAAATATTTATTAAAGTTATTTGGAATGATACGGATGATGCTAAATGAGTTATGAACCCGACCAGACTTAACGACAAAATTGCACGTAGGGGATATCCAAACTCTGCTTTCTGGCGAATACTTTCATTCACATTCACACAGGTTTATATTAGATTTGCACTTTAGCTACGTGTCTTGTTATATCCCGGAGCACGCCTCAGAAATTATATAAGGAATGCATGCAATGTTTGTTGGAGCAAGTACTTAAATTATTTACTCATCTGCCCATTACGGTCCGCCTGTGCGGTCTCAGTCGTTGACTTTCTTATGATTATAAGAATTTTGCTAGAAGGCATGGAGCTGTCCGTCTCATAAACGATGTAAGATCGCTCAATTTTAACGTATAATTTAAATGAGATTTCGATAAAAGGATTAACACTTATACTAATAATTTCTCAAAGTTATTAAAATTAATGGCCCAACAATCAATCTGATCATTCAAATGACTTGCCTGGCATCATTAAAATACATTGCAAATATTACAAATTGATCGAAGATAGTGCGTATATGCACACATCATTGTAAGAAAAATCTAGTTAATTGCTGGTTTTGCTATCTTCTTAAAAAAAAAAAAAGAATCGTCATAAGTCACTATATATAGATATATATGTATATTATTTTTAATTTAATATTAATTTTTATTCATTTAATTTTTTATTTTTCTTTGCACACTTTTAAGTTGTTTAAGAAATTTTGCTTGGATTTTAGTATTCTTTGGGTTCGGCAAGGAGGCAAATTGTTGTGGCGTATGTTGGCAACAGCATGTTTGTTTTATAACCTCAAGGAAGCATCAAGTAAACAGTTTGAATATCTCTTTCTTTTACTCGAAACTTTTTACACCAAGAAATGTTTGCGTAATAGAGTTTATGCTGAAAAACTTTTGAATCCCGAACTTTTGCAGTAGGAAGCATATTTAATTGAATATATTTTCTACACTCACTTTGTGCGAGGGAGACGAAACAGTTTAAATGTAATGTAAAATTTTTGTATATCATTGAATTAAATTATTTTTTAAAGAGTTAAAAATGCAAGCTTTAAGAGAATGTAAATTGAAATCGAGTTCGATGTGTTGTGTGTATGTCATAAAAATTTCTTACTTAAGGCGCAAGACAGCTTAATTTTTGATTTAATTAAATTAAAAAACCAGTTGGTTTTAATATCAAAAATCTTTTCTAAAAGCTTTAAAGAGCACGTTTTAAAAAATTTCAATATATTAAAAATTAATTTCCCATAGAGCTTTCGTGATGTCATTAAACAAAGGCGGCAAACAATTCAATCGTAAAGCAATTTGCTGTCAATCGAGATTTATTCGTCGTTTTTTTTTTTTTTTTTTCTGTGACTATATTTCGACACATAAACGCTATTGGTAACACTTTCAATGCTAATATATATTTAAAGTTTACCGTCCAGCGAAATTAGAATTAAATTTTGGCATACTTATCATATATATACGATACAAGTAATTGAATTTGCATATGCGACACAAAGATATTTTCACGATAAGCTTTATGACTATGGTTTCTTCTTGCAATATAACTTTAAAATTTTTTTATATTCTCATACGATAAGAAAATTTTTTTAATTGAAACGTACAAAACATTCAGTTGTGAAATATTTTAAATTTTCCTGTAAACTATTCTCCTCAGCTTTCAATGGGATAAACTTAACCTTAAGCGCAGAGTTATGTAGTTATCGGGTTAGGTTCTTCCATTCTCCATCGAATTTCAGCGCATTGATATCAATACCTAGGTCGCTTAAGTTGATCAAACGCTCTATGCTCAACTTTATATAGCTTTGCTCCTAGTGACAAACGCTGAGATAGTACATTTGTGAAAAAAAAGAAAAAATGTATACATAAAATTAATTTCATTTTCCGCAGCCGACTTTTGTTGCTAAGTTTTTGCAGTCTTTCGACAATAAGCGTAATAGGAAGTGCACCGTAGGGGAACAGAGAGAGGACCGCTTCTCAAATGCTTAAAGTTATTGTAACTTAAGGACATATAGTAGAATTGTCTGAATTTCTTCACCATCGCCGCACCTACACACTACGCTACACTTGAAAATACTGTTGCGCAGAGATATGTTTCTTTACGAACAAATTCATTACTCGAAAGGCTTAATTTTTTCGTACAAAATGTGAAAAAAAGAAATATATATATGAAAATTCCTGAAAGTTATTGATTCTGTAATTCCTGTAATTGACGTCAAAGTTTTACTTTTGCATTCTCGAATTATAAGATAAGTGTCTTGGAAAACAGTTTCTGTAAATATTTTTAAAGGAGAATTTTTGCATTTCCCCTCTTAATTGAAAGAACGTTTATAGAGAGCGTCAAAACTTAAGACAAACTGCATGCATAAATCCCTGTTAAGGTAAATTTTTTGATATTCGTGGCTTATATTGTGCAATATACAATATACTAGATGCTCGCACGTAAACTTGACGCTTTCCAATACAAACAGCGTCGCCACATTAATAGCATGCGATCATGTTTTATATTGGCATCAACTGGTCGCGAAATATTATGGAGACATATTGAAATAAATAAACGTGGCAAAGTAAGAATTTGAATGTAGTTACTAAACTGAGGTTAATGTCATCACAATCGATGTTAAAATATTTAAACTCTTGTTAACCTTTTTTACCTGAGCTTATCATAGACATCGGCATTCAAAATCCAACTGCGCATTTTAACATTCGTTAATTGCTGATATTTTTAATTCAGTCTATAAATTAGAACTTATGTAAACGATGAATCTATCTCAAGTGCTTCTGCATGCTACAACTGTCCCCACAAACTTAATATATTCTTGCATTCTACGTGGTGTAGTACGGTATAAAAAGCGTGCATTTACATATAAAAATGAAGAAATTCAAATTATGCTAAAGAAGTAAACAACTCATCATCTGTCTGCATTCTACTTAAGTAAACCTATATAAATGAAAATGAATTTCTTTATTGCGAGCGTGGAGACTTCCATCAGCAGTTAGATTGAGATCTTCTTTACGCTTAAGAGCTTTGTTTTTTTTTTTTTTTTTTTTCAGAGAGTATAGTAAACTTTTAGCAAATGAGAGGATATTTAAGAGCGCGCAGTGTTGCTTTCGAAATTTCATTTATCTTAAGTTTTGCAACTTTGGAAATATCAAAATTAGAATATGTGGGAAAATCACGTTGATATAGGATAAAAGGTAAAAAAAAAAATTTCAGCGCAGACTTCGAAGAGTTATAATCAGAGCAAGTGTATCGAAGTACGATGTTGTTTTTCGCTGACAGAAGAAAGATTGATGTAGCAACAAGTCGGCAGTAGCTATTTTCATTTTGACAATTACTTGATCCAACTTTCAAACCAATATTAGCAGTAGACTATCAGTTATTGATTACAACTTAGTTGCTTTGAGATTGGTATTCTTTTTATCTGCTAAAAGCGTGTGTTGTGATAGCGACCACTTTCAAATGTGATCGTTGAAACAGACAAATTGTGTCGTTCAGGTAATATTTGTGCTAAGTTCCTATTCTGTAGAACAGTGTTGCGGATACCAATATTTTACAAACAGACATAGGTCTCTGGATACATGGTCTCTGGAATGAAGCAATTTCTTAAAATAAATTTAGCATGAAAAATCTTTAAAGTACTCTTCATAGTTTCACTAGAGAAGCATTTTGTTGGTAGGTAGGTTTTTCGCGACTCTTTAGTTTGGTCCATGAGATATTTATGATTTATGAAAAGTATTATATTAATGAAGATTGGCAAAAAGTAATACTACAGTTTTTCTCTCTGCACAGGGTTGTTTGTGAAATGATTTGACCACTGAAATGTTTCAAAGCTTTTTCTATTAAGATTTCTGTATAAGAAATCTGCTTATAGGTTATAACTTGCAATTTTTCTTAGATATTACGAGCGAGTCTGTTCGGAGTTTTGTGGATTATGGTCATTTTAATTTTTTTTTTTTGTTTTGAAGTCTATAACTAAGAGTATGTATAGAACAGTATTCGATATCTTGTCTTAATTTTCAATATCGATGGCTAGAGGAATATGGCCATTTAGGGCGATTTAGCATCTCAAAGTGATCAAAAATCTAGAGTTTCAATTGATGGCAAACAGAAGAAGAAGTGTGTTTGTAAGTTTTCTACCTACCGAATATATAATATTATATAAGAATATGTGTGTCGGTTGATAAGTTTTCAGAAAATTGTCGGCCTATCTCTTTAAAAGAATCCTTCTCCCCCTAAAAGGGATTTTTGAAAAGTTCATCGACCATAAATTCATTTATGAAGAATTTATACAATTATTTTATATCATTTATGTGACGTCGCGTATGGAACAAAAAAATATGTTTTGTTTTTTATTCGGCAAACTTGTCGAAACGGTTTATAACTTCGGAACATGTTTAATGAATATTGGTCTTAACAATAAGCTTACCATACATGTATGTATATGTTTATATAATTTCAGCAGATTTTGTTTATATTTAAGTAATAGGAGTATATGTTTACAAATGTAATACTTGAAATTTTTATATATATGTATTTATTATAAATAAATATAATATGTATATAAATTAATAGCATATATATGTACTCTCGTTTCCGTATTCTTCTCTATTTATTCATATACATATACATCTACACTTTTATAAACAACATTTTATAACTTTAGTGGAACACAACACATAACTTGTCAGTATTTAATATAAACTATTACATACACAACTATCCAATGACTACGGTAATGATACCGTCACATGTACAGGTAGCGGCCTGCGTTTTTTTTTTTTTTGTTCTTTTTTTTTTCCTTTTTTTTTCTTTACAGTACGTATTATAATAAATTGCAACTAAATGAATGTATTAAACTGTACAACTAAAACTATTGCCAGCAACAACAATACCACCAGCGCCAACACCAAAATGCTATTGACAGTTGGATAATTGTTGGTGTTGTTGTTGTTGTTCTTGTTCTTGTTAATGTTATGGCTGTTACTGTTTTGGACCAAGCAGCCGAAGTTAATTCATTATTGTCCATAGCATTGCCGCGTATTTCAGTTTTACCATAAAACGGCGGTTTACGGGTCACTCCATTGCCATTTATACTGCCAGGTAAACCAATACCAAACTCCAACGTGCCACCGCCGTTGACGGCATTATAATGATGATGTCTACCACCTACAGCGTCTGGTCCCAAGCCCACAACACCCGGCTTGTGGGTGGCATGTTTATGGCTGACACCGTTTGCCGATGTATAGTAAACATTTGGCGTTAATGGTGGCGGCAGCGGTGAATCACTGTCATCGAAATCCTCGGCCGAGCCATACAGATCTTCATCATCCGGTTGATAAGTGACGCGTAATTGTTTCTGCTTTAAAATGTCATTGGTATCCGCATCAGAGCCAACGGCATGTTTATTGCTGGCCGGCACTTTACGATTTGGTCCGGGAATTTCTTTATATAATAGCATGAAAAAAAAAAAAAAACTCTACATATAGTGATATAAAAAGTTTTTGATTATGAAAACTTGCACGGTAAAGAAATTGCAATACGCGTAAACACATGTTTTCTCTTAAGAAACGATTTTTTATAAAAATTGATATTTCTTACTTACCGTATAAACGTATACTGCTGTCAACTTCACCCAAAGAATTTTTCGCAATGCAACGGTACGAGCCGACATCATCTTTATGAAAATTTCTTACAATCATTGTCATTTTCGTTTCATACATTGATTTCGATAATTCCTGTACGTGATATTTTGATGATGACACAATCATTTCACCTGTTGACAAGAGGATTGAAAAAGTTGTCTTTTATTCACTTTTATATAGATAGTCGTATATTTCATATATAATATAAATACGGATTAAAGTTTTGCTACGTGTAAATATATATATATATATATATATAAAGTACTATTTACGTTAATGCACAATCGTTCAGATAAAATTTGTTTAACAATGTTTATATACCGACAAATGAATGTTTGTGTGTGTGTGTGTTTTTCTCTGCGAGCTAGAGGCAGAAAATCTTTAACAGATACGGCTGGTTCTTACTAGCAGCATTCAAGATTCGCCATCCATGGTGCCTACTTACTAAAAACTATCCCCGACACACGCTTCCTCCAGCTTCCCCCGCGGGACGCCTGTTAAGTATTACTTCGAGGAGGCTGGTTGTCGTAAGCGCGCTTGCTATGGTGAAATCTCAATGGAATACACTATTGGCTTTCACTCCCTTTGTTTTCCCGCTGTTTTTCGAGCTGAAGTAGTTCATTGATCACTCTGCTTACAAAGTCTCTTATGGGTCTCTGGGCTTCTCCGTTGGCATTCAACCCCTTCAATATTTCACTCGGTTCTATTTGATGTCTGCCATTCTCGAACATTTTGCATTGAAAGATGCCGGGCAATTTGGCGAATTGTCGTGCCCAAACCTGAAACAGCCATGGCCAGTCAGGAACTGGGTGAGGTAGTAATTTACTTCACCGTGTGGCCTTCCGATCCATTGCGTTACATTTGGGATAAGAACGAACGTCCATCTTCCTTTCGTTGTTTTTTCCCATCGCGATTGCCATATTCTTATCGTCGCTAGCCGCTCTTCTGTTTTCATAGCCTGTTTGGAGGGGGCGCTGGTGCGGTTTGATGGATGCGCTTCATTTCGCCCGCCAAGATATCGATTGGCATGGCGCCAGCAATCACAAGGGCAACTTCCTCCGACACAGTCCGGAACCCGCATATTTGCCTCAGCACACTTGGGCGATATGTTGCCGCCAATTTTGGTACACCGCCTTCACTGTGAGTGTTCCGGCCCAAACTGGGTTTCCAAACATTAAGACCGAAGTTATCACCGGGGCTATTACTTTCCGATTGGTGAATTTTGAGCCTCCAATATTAAATATATATTCTCCGATAATGACGCCTGAATGCCAACGTCTTTCTTAGCCGCTTACTCAACGTGGCGTTTAAAGTTGAGTCAATGGTCGAGTATAACTCCAAGATATTTTAGAGCGGGAGATGACTGCATCATGTGTTGCTTGACTCGGATGCAGCATGTTTCAACGCGCTTTCGGCTGCTTATTAGCACCGCCTCATGCTCTACTATCTCTAGCCCCGCCCCTTCTACCGATGCCATCACTTTAACGATAGCCTCGTTAGCCCTCGTTTCTACCTGCGCAATGCAGTTCGCGACCACTACGATTGCTATATCATCGGCAAAGCCGATAATCGTTGCACCGACAGAAGACTGGCCGTTGTACATTATATTCCACAAGAGAGGACCAAGAACTGATCACAGTGGGACACCCGCCGTTATTTTATGCGACTCTTTTCCATTGTCGCTACAATACACTAACGTGCGGTTCGGAAGGTAGTATATTATTATCTCAAGTATATACCTTGGAACCTGCATTCTTATGAGGGCTTTACGAATGATCCCACAGTCCACCGAATTGAAGCGTTTTTCAAGTCTAGTGTAACGACGGCGCAATACTTTTTATCACCGCCCTTCCATCGATCTCCAGCTATAGCGTCTGGGGCAAGCGTCACGCCATGATTTATGGCATTTACCGTAGACGGCGCTCTTTTGAATTCGTACTGGTTTTCCGAGCGAGTACGTATTTCTTCGACGATTAATACGACTAGCAGGCATTCGCGTAGGGCCGCCTCCAATATCTTGCCGATTGTGTGTAACAGGCAAATTGGTCATTAGGACGATGGCTATTCATCTGGAAGGATCTTTCTTCCAGACACCTTTGCATCATCGTCACGAAGACGTCTGGCCTCTTTCGTATCTGTCCCTTTAAGGCCTTGTTTGGGACTCTGTTCGGGCAAGGAGTTTTTTGTCTCTAATGCTTTTGCAGGCGCTCAAAAGCTTGTCGGCAGTAATTCCTGTTGTTGCTTCATCTTCTCTGGAAGTCCACCAAAACGTACGGCGGCCTCTGCGGAAAAAATGTTGTTACAATTTGCCGGAGCGGGAGCGAACACCACATGTGGCCCTCTCTGTCCTTTGACCTTCTTCAGGCCGACTTTATATGCCGTTCCCCACGGGTTGATATCGGCATCCTGGAATATTCTATCAAAGCTTCTTCTTTTTCTTAGCGCTTATGGCCTCCTTTAAGTCACTGCGCAAGTCTGTGTAGAGTGTAAGCAGTTCATTAAAGTTTGCCCCCGAGCGCTGCACATTTCGCCTGGTTTTCAAGCAGTTCGCTCCCAGGGACCCTATTTTATCTGCCCACCAATAGTACAGGGATCCTCTTCTGCTCGCAACTTTTGTGTGTGTGTATGTGTGCGTGTGTGTGTTTCTACAGCAAAGTATGTAAAGGTGAACTTGCTAACGTATATTCTGTTTTGTAAGGATTTTTTTGGTCGAATTTTGTAAATATTTTTAGACTTTTGCGTACTGCGTATTTGAATGCTGTGTACCAGTCTTGGACCAATTCGTGGGCACTTCTTACTTCAGTAAGTTATACAAAGGAAGCTGAGTGATACAAATTTTTACCCGAACCTTATAAGCGATTCATGAACAAAAAAGTTTCATCAATCAACTGAATCTCTTACTTACTTGGTTAGAAATCGATGACTTGGTAAGTGTCTATGTTTTCGATCAAAGCGAACTACTCATTCGACAATCCTGTGACCGTTCGTTTTTTTATAGGATCTTTAAATTTTCTCAATTACTCATATCTCCGAAAATATTTCGATATTTTATTGTAAGTAGACGCACTTGGTCTAAAAATGCGAAAAGCTCTATCCTGACGAAATAATGATTTTGCCAGAAAATGGCAAAACATTTCGAATATAAATGATACATAGTTGGTTTAATAGAATTAATTTTCCTGAATTTTGGAGAAAGAATGATATGAAAATGAAAAAATTCTTATGGGCATAATGCCTTCCTACACTGACCAAAATTGTTTAAGTAACTGCGAAAGCTGTCTCTCATATTACCTATCGTTAACAGCGGATTTATTAGCAAACCAATTGGGAATATTTTCGAATAGAATTTGAAGTCGACCCTCATTTGGGTAACAGCATTTTGGACACGTCTTCACGGAATTGAAAGTTGTAGACAAATATATGAAGAAATTGTCGAATTATTCAGTTTTTTATCTACTGTGGGCGTGTATTTGGGCAGATTACAATCACCTCTTAGCACTGAATCCTAATCGGCCTATGAGTATTCATATCAAATTTCAGGCTACTGTCTTAATTGTTACAATCTGTGGCAATTCTATCGTTTTACATTTTCATAAAATTCGTTTGAAGATGTGCATTATCTCCCAATCATATTGATTCATCGATAGTGGCGACATCTATATGTCGTATTACGAACTTATTGAGTGATGTCTTAGTTATATCCAAAACGGCAGAGTCTAGTATAAATGACGTGATTGTTATGATTTTCAAAACAATGGAACGACAAATGTTTTGAAGTTAACCTAATAAAAGACATAAAATTAAATCAATTACTCTGGCCATGGAAGCGTCGACACGCAGCAGTAACTGTGACCAGAAAAGATTCCTTTACACTACATCTCCATTACATATTATATCATATGTATTGTATATTGTAAGTTCTCTAAATGGGCTGTTTGGACTCGTCCTCGTTTATGATAGATACGATTTTTTTTTCTAATTATGTGAGTTCTTGAAGCAGTTCACGTGCTTTAAGACTTTAAAATGAAAATATCAACAAAAATTTAGAATGAACTTCATAGAATGAACTTCAGCTTTGATGTCATAACTTGGGAAAGAAGGAAAATTATGACAGTGTTAGTATTCATTGGGCGATCTAAGAATCGATTTCTCTGATTTGACTTGATGTAAGTGATCCAGAAAATTTTAATAGTAAGTGTTTTGAAATCGGAAACGAAAGTTCGAAACGTGGACCATCGATAAGTAGGCTATGAAACATCTATAAATCGATTCATTTACTCCTGCTGAGCAATATACGGCCGCCAAAAGCATTTCTCTCAAAAAGAAAACACTTAAAAAAAATACATGGCAGAAATTCCGCACACGCAGCTAAGTAAAATTTCTACTTCTCCTAACTTCAATGGCATTCGCATATCGTTTAATTTCGCGTACTCCACTATACCGACATATGTAATAAAAGTACAATTAAAAAGCGCTACTAGCGCACAAAGAATCGACCCTGGGTATCTGATTTAAACGACCGGCATTCTAATCACTAGACTGTACGGCAGCTCTTTTTTAATTAAAGCGTCAATAGCTTTAAATGAAAGAAGAACAATATCCATTGACTGAAATTAATGTCTTCTAGAGTGTGATGTGATGAAGATGAGTACTTTTTATAATAAAAATATTCTCACAATCTCTACGGTTAAGCTGAAGTTATAGTCACGCATGTAATTTGAAAATAATGCAACTCGGTTTCGAGCCAGCATGCTTGAAAAAGCTGAAGTTTTCTTACAGATAAACGCACTAAGTAAATCATTTGGATCTGCTTTACGCCTAGAAATTCAAAAAGCTCCACAAGTATAACGGTTTGAAAAAGTTATTTTTATATATATACATATACATATATATATATATATATATATATATATATATATATATACATATACATATATATATATATATATATACATATACATATATATATATATATATATAGATTTATATATATATAGATTTGAATTTTGAAGAAAGAATGTAATGAACTTTTTTCATGAACAGATAAATATTTGAAATGGATGAACATCCGATCATTTTGAATCAATTTTTTTGAGTTTTTCGTTTTTTCTAAATTCAATTAAACCAATTTTTGTGCTACCCATTCACTCTTTTCTTGCTAATACCTGAATTTTAACCACTACGTGAAGCTTGTTTTATACTTTTTAACTTTCTATTTTAATTTTTTTTAATTAAAAATTTTTAAACACAAACAAATATGATTAAATCAAGTGGAAATCTCAAACTGCTTAAGACTGGGCAATGCTTCAGACAATCGAATTGTTAATGTTATATAAAATAGGATAAAAGATTAATGTAACTCCCCCAGGCCAACAGTGACATGCATATTAAAAGTGTGCAAATGTCTAACATGATTGGATTATGTAAAAATGAGATGTCATTTCACAAAAGACAACTAGACAGACGATAATATTTTATCACTTTTAAATTTTTCTTTTGTGAAATGACAACTCGACAGACGATAATATTTTATCACTTTTAAATTATATAAAGGAAATCATGCGTATTTGATCATAAAAAATGCAAAACAATCATTCGAAATTCTAATACAGAGTTACAATCGGCGAGTCCCTTACAGTTCAGAAACTCGTCTACATAATTCTTCGCAGCTATGTACCCGTTGTACTAGGGTTTACGCGAATTTTGTAATGAACGTGTGCTGGCCATTAAACTAACAAAGAAAAAAAAACTTCTTAACACGAAAATGTCACGAAATTTATAAGAAAATTTAAATGGGTCATATGATGTCCTGCTTTTATTGCAAGCCAGTTTTTTCGCACTTTGTCACATCTCATAATAGGCTATGTCAGGTTACGACAACGTTACTGGGTACTTCAGATTAACTTCATTCTCACATAGCCTTTTTTCTTTAGTGCTGCCGTATTTTGGGAGTGGCAATTGCATGCCCAGACGACTTGCACGAAGACATGAGGTGGTCCTAGATGGATTTGTGATGGAAGAATTCAACTTAAGTGTTACGGCCACTGGAGAGCAAGGAGGTATTTGTAGGCTCCCGAGTTATATATTCTTCTATTGGCATATAGTTTACGCCGAATCTTTAGAAGATTGATTGATTTTTGTCGAATTCTTTTGATATTTGATATTGAAGGAATTGTATTAAATACTCTTTTTTTAACTTTTATAAATTTATAAAAAACAATTAAAGCACTTTTAGAAAAATCCAAATTCATAATGTGGTCAGGGCAAGATGACTCAGAGAGACAAGATGTAAAGCGAAATGAAATAAATAATGATTCAAATAATTTGTGAATTAAGTGTCGCTTGCGAGAATTGATGTGTATTTCGAACAGCTTACACAACACACGAATGACCGACCATTATCGTAGCTTGTTGTAAGCTTAGGTCCTAAGCAATTTACAATGAAGATTTTTAATGCAAAATAATTCAATCAGAATTTTTCAGTAATCAAATCAGTACATGGAATGCAATTTTAATCAAAAAAATTGAGCGTTTAGTTCCCAGTTTATATCGGCCAAATTCCTTTTTTACACGGTTCAACAGTTCCCGAAAATTCATACCACTTTCATGTCATGCGTTAAAGCTGACTCTATAGAAAGCCTTATAGAAAGCGAAAATGTATTGAACGTTTTGCATAAATACCAAAAATATATTTAATTTTTTTTCCCCAAATTGGGATATACCAACCACTGCATGCATTTATAAACACGTTTACAATACATTTTTCTAAGGGATAGTGATTTTCCGGCGATTTTGTCACGACCAACAGAATACACTGAGCGTAACGACGGTCCAACATTGACCTTGACGTTAATACATAAGTATTTTTATTTGCTCGTAAGTTTCTTTTACTTTTATTAATAAACATTTGGCGCGTTAGAGTGGCAGTGTCGTGGCTATATGGCGATAGCATGTTTTTTGTTCTTTGCATTTAAACTTTCTTCATATTTTCATCATCATCCATTTATCTTAAATTATGACATACACATACACACACACACACATACTATCAGCTAAAACGTGCAACATATGCCGGAAATGTTTATAAATTATAAAAAAAAAGGAAAGGAAAATGGAAAAAAAGGATCCTTAAACAAGAAACGAATTAATCGCTCTTTTCACTCGAAACTTAGATTTTATGCACTCATTCATTTATGTAAAAGTTTGTATAAACGTTTATTATCAGTGTTCGGGCGCGTGTGTGTTTTATAACTTGTCTACGTATAGATATGTATACCATAAAACACACTAAAGACTCTTACCAGTGTCCTTAATCCAGTAGTTAATTGATTTCGGTGATGCCTCTACGTGACATTCAATTTGAACATCAGTGCCAAGTGGTGCACCGACTAATTGATTTGGTACTTGTATAACTGGATGAACTGTTTTAATGCATAGATGCACATGTGTTCGTTGAGATAATAAAATCAAGCAAGAATGAGAAAGAAAGAGAACATAATAAATCATCATTAAATTGTAAATATTCATATGTATACGTATGTGACAATTATTTAAATATTTATAAATTTATTGTTGGTCATTGAATGGATAGCAAATATGCATAAATAAGAGACGTGATATTTGTATATGTGTAAATAATAGAAAAGTAATCGAAAGTTATATCATTCATAATAAGACTGACTATATATACATTATTTCTCTTGAAACCTGGCTCCTGTTCCGGATTGTTTCTGGATTTCTTGCTGCACTGTCAACAACAGAAGCAAAAAAAAAAAAGCAAAAGCAAAGGTACTCGATATTGCCTTAAATTTTTTGTTAAAATAACGCAAAATTACTTGAGCAGACTTATTTTAGTAGTACGACAATAATAACAACAACAATTGCGATACGTTATGTAACTCGATACGTCAAATATTTCAGAATCGTATTCAGCCGTAATAAGATAGTGCAATAGCCAAGCTGGTTCAGTCTTCTCGAGTTTGAAGTCAACAATGGCGTTGTATAGAAAAAAATCTCCAAGTGGCAATGCGAAATACGCGCTTGCGAAACAATTTCTAACAAAAAGATATCTTTACTTCTAAGAGGGAAATTTTATTTATTTTTTTACAATCCATCGCTCCGGAGATACCGCCTACACAAAACTATTCTCAAAAAGTCGTGGTCAAAAAGAAAAACAGATAGCGAGCTGTTGTATTTTAGCAGATATATGCCCTATCGGAAGGTGTTATGCTTATACCGACTGAGCTACGACCAAGTATGGTCTAATCGCTCTGAGATTTGAACACGCGAACATCGATTTGGTTGTCGCGAATCTTATCTTCTTCGCTAACCAAATATGGCAGCAACAAGAACCAGAGTAAAACAGTACGAGGACAATATCAGCGAAGTAGGGACATATTAATATAAGAGTCCGACCTGTGCTCTCAAATATGTTATGTTTTCATAGCTTCTCATTGTGTTGTGCAGCATTTATGGTGCAAAATTGTGTTAAGTTTGTGTGGATATATGCAACACTCAGAAAGACTTGAGAGAGACGCTTCAGGATTATTTTCTGAGTTCGATATAAACCTTTCTATCCAGCCTGTTTCCTTGTATTCAACCTATAGAGCGTAATTTTTGAGACATTTTCATGTTTTGCGTTTTAGCCCAATGCTTCAGATCGGAACACTCCTTCGAGCATTTCCCATATAATGCCCTATTTTGCAAAATTCTCATATGAAAAGTGTAGAGCTGTCTGGGGAATTTAATGGTGGTCTATGGCCCACTGTACTGTTTTTACGATTTGCACCACTATTGTAGCGTAGAATGCGCTTTTGTGAATTTAGGCGTTTATTCAAATTCTATTTGAGATTAAGTTAGCATCACTGAATTGCGTTTTTTGGGTTAATGTAGGTTTTATGAGCAAATCTTAGGAGATCTGTTTGCAGGATCTTATATTTATAATGCATTTTCAGATTTTCTCGGTTCGTATATTACGATGTAAGCTTCTTGGCCCAACTGGTTTTGCCTTCTGCAAATATTCTGCTTTTATACCCTTCTACACATAAGCAGCAAGTGTCCAGTTCTATTGTGACATTTCCGTATCCATTTTTTTCTACCTAGGGAATCTTTTTCCCAGACGCCAGCTTCGTCGACAGATAAAGTTTAGTCTTCATGTAATTGATTTCATCAAATGCGGGATATTCGTAATACTGTATTTAAACCGTTTTTACTCGCTACGATAACCAAATATCGTAATTTAGTGGTGATCCTCAAAACCGGCCAACATCACAATATTTTTGCTTACCCTTACCCATCGTGTTACCTTCGAGCGAATATGGACCGCGATGATTTTTGCTATTCGACGAGACAATTACGTACTGTTTAGCAATAATGCAATTACGGTTTGCCAATTAGATTCAGCTTACATATAGCAATTGGACTTATGCACTGAGCTATTTATTTACGTGCGCGCTTCTGTCGCTGTCTATAAAAAATATTTATTACCTGAGGCCATTACGCGGAGTTTACGAATAACATGTGTAGGAATATTCTATGTCTACTATATGGAACTCAACGGTATTGTCGCTTACACTTAGCTGCTTGTCTATCGTTGGTTGCAAACGTTTTCAATCATTAGGACACTAGCTAGCGATACTTCATATGTTGTGTGTTCAAAACACATAAATAATGCTTTTTGAATGTTACTTGTCAACTATGTTCAGTGTGTCATATGTATATCGTTCGATTATATCATATAATTATATAAAGTCAACTATATAAGTGCACCTCTGTTCACTATACAAATTCAATCAATCCATTCAGCATTTGGACGTCTCTTATTCTCTATTATCAGCAATTTCGTTATCACATAAGAGTCTTTATTTTATTTCATAAGTTAATAATTTTTTTCCGCTTAAAATTATTGTCAGTTAGGACACATGAGTACCGATGCATACAGTTGTCAGTGGTTGCTTTTTTTTGTCAACTTTAAGCTTACCGCGTAATAGTGTTTTGAACTATAAGCCTCTTATACATCTTATATTACATATGCAAAGCTTCTGCATTATTTATAAAAAATAATGAACGGAAAATAATCGCTTTATAGCATATCTTGTACACGGATCAATTTGAAAATTTTTACCTGTTAAACACCGAAACGTCTGAATTGAATGATGCGGACAATTTATACGTATCTAATTGCGGAAGTCCTAATCAATATTCGGCACAAGATTTATTTAGACAATTTTGGGTATTTTAAAGAAACTTAGGGGATGTGCTCCATTCGCGCAATACTTTAATCGTCAGAAAGAGCAGAGGAAAGAAAAAGAAATAGGGAGGTATTGGCTGCAGCTTAGTGACTTTGTACCGAATCGGTAATCGGTGCCTTTACCGACTGAGCATTTACTATACCTACGAGCAAACAAAACTCTATCGAACTTGAAATTTGAGCCCACGAACACTGACATCGTAGTTTTGATTCTTACCTGATTTTAACGTTTGAAATAAGTTTCAATTTTTTGGTCCAATATATGCGTCGTGCAGAGTGTCAATATTAAATTGACTGGCAGATAGTTAAGATCGTTAATCTTGTAAACCGAATCGCAAAACTCGTATTCATCAACAGGAAGCATAGCAACCTTGCAATGAAATGGACTTAGTTAACAAATACTTTCCGGATCTAGGAGTGCTTTGATATCAAAGTTCCTCGAAACGTTATTATTTCTATTCATATTCTTTCAGTCTGCTTTACTCGGGTGAATGCAGAAAATTTTGTGAGTTATATGCTCGTTTACATTTCATTGATTTTTAAAGTTTTCTTTTTGCATTTTTCATTTGAGACTCTCAGGTAAAACGGAATTAAAACCACAAAACACTTTAATGTCCATATCTACACTCACATGGTATGTGTGTATGTGTGTTTTTGCAGCAAATGTGTATATTGTGTAAATTATTGTCACTTTGTATGCTACACAAGATTGTTGTTGGTTACTGTGTGTATGGACACAGATCGACAAATAACTTGGATAGCCAAGCAAACAACAACTATATTACCAGACAGTAGTCATCATATATATGTATATATATATATATATATATATATATATATATATATATCTGCAAGATACTACACATTTGTACGTATAGACAGACACACACGTTTCTATTCGAATTTATAGAATCATGCATGCGGTTTGCTTGTGTAGGCATTGCTGGATTTTTGTGTGTTAAAGGTTTTTGAACAATACACTCAAATTTGTGGTTTTACTTGTCAATTGATTGCATTAGTTTGGGCCTATGCATGTATCTTTTTGTCAACCCCTACTGTCTATATGTTATGCTCTACGATAGATTTGAATGTATTTATGATTTCATTTCTTAAATTCGAAATATTTTTCGAGAGAAAATTAAGTCTCTGCTAGTCGTTGTGTGTGTGTGTGTGTGTGTGTGTGTTCTATTTACCAATTTTTATTCAATTTTGGATACATCTTCGGATAACAAGAGCTATAACCAACCAAGTTCTTTTTATGCACCAGGATGAAAATTTTAAAGTGATGTGATTTTAATTGATTTGTATGCTCGAGTGCATATGTCATCGTGTATGCGTTGATGTGTGTACGTGCATGCGTGTATGCGTGCGTATGTGTGTATGTAAATGAATATTTTGTGGTCATCTCATGTCAATAGACTTGAAAAAGTTGATTTAATTGAAATTTTAAAAGGTAGCAACTAACCCTAACCCCTACAGCAACATATTCATTATATTGTGCAACAAAAAAAAAAAAAAAAACACTGCCTCTCTTCCCCTTAGACGTTTTCTTTTTCTTTTTCGTTTTTTTTTTTTTTTTGTTTTCTTTTTATCCTTTCATATTTGTTATTGCTATCGTTGCTGTTATTGTTGTTTAAATAAAAATGATTTTAAATTGCAAGAAAATTTCTTCGAGAGAATTAAAACGAAATGTTTAATTTAATTTTATACTTGATTAAAATAACTTTATAGGACAGGGAACTTTTCGACAAAATTTCTCTTCTCTTCTGCACTAAAAAATTTTCATTTAATCTGATTTCAATATTCAATATTTAATGCATTTACAAATGTTCGAGAAATTTCTTGTAAATTCAGAAAAAAAAAAAAGGTTTCAGTTGATGATGTTGTGGTTGAAATTTTTGCTTTATATACAATCTTATCATAAGGAATTAATTGCAAAATTGTGCTTAGCATCGAGATGTAGATGTCAAATTAGTTTCATATAATCAAATTAACACTTTTACCTTTGAAACGTACATTATCCAATGAAATGCTCATCTGCATGCATTTATTAGAATTGATACCATTTTTTATACCTATCACCGAAGGATGGGGGGTTAATTCATTTTGTCAAAGCGTTTGCAACGCCCAGGAAGAAGCTTTGGAAAGCCGACAAACAATCATCAAATTCTG